AGGGAATATGGGACTATATTATATACGGAATATATAGGGATTATCTTCCTTTACTCTTACTCCCCACTAAGCACCAGTAAGGAGTTGTGTATTGTGCCCCAGCACGCCCACTTGAACAGGCGCATTCAGCTCATATTGAAATTACGAAGATGTAACTTCGGGACCTGTAGATCGAGACGTCAGGAAACAATCTCCTAAACAAGACATCAGCAATCTGAGATTATTCCTCCTCTCGAGGTCCGTCAGATGTGCAACATAGCTTGACGAAGGGTCTTCGTGCATCCCAGATCTACTTAGGCGACGTGTGTTGAGTCTAGGGCTCAATATGCGCTTCTGTTTACTTGATCTTCATGCGATCCCAGATTTTTTGCAGAACTGCATGACCTACTCTGTCAACAGTCCAGTCCTAAAAGTCTAAATCGAAAAGCTGGGTTGCTATTGGAACTTAAGTTAGCACATCATGGGCATATGCTAATAATAGGGTTTCCTTGTTCTAGTAATCTATATTAAGTTCCTTAACAGCAACCACAAACTCCAAGCGCTGTTTCTGCCTTTTTCTCCTGCTTTTGGCGAGGCCCAACACGCTGCAGCAGAGGCTATCCGGAAGACCTCTTGATGTGTTGATCGGATTTGGAAAGAAGCTTGAGAGACGAGGTTCAGGCAACATGTAGTCTCAAAGATCCAAAAAGGCTTTAAAGAGGCCAGCCAGGAAGGCTTGATAGGAATCAGCTATACAGGGATACCTGGTCAGGGATCATCAGACAACTGTGTTTTTTCAAGAAGCAGTGCTGTGATCCACCAAGCATCTGGATGGCCGGGTAATACTCCCATCGCCCCCACAGAAAACAGGTTTTCTAAAGCTGGCTTTGGTGGGCAGCATGGTCTTGTCATGATATCATTTCGCGATTCTTCTGGCAGGACAGGCTTTGCCCACTTTGTTTTGGGATGGGTCGTGTTACCCTAAACCCCGAACTCTGAACCCTAACGCTTACACAATCTAAACTTCAAGCCATCCAACCAGACTGCAGGGATCAGGGTTTAGGGGCAGAATCGCATGCAAGATAGTCATAGTTGCAACATGTGATAGCGGGAAATGCTGATACATGTGGTAGTTTCCCGAAACAAGGGGACCCCAATGTAGACCCCCAAATACTATAGTCCTTATTATAGGGACCCCCAAAAAAGGTACCCCTAATTTTTGGGAAACCCCCATGTTGGTTTTAGATTCCATGGATGTCGATTGATAAAGGCAGTTGAATCGAAGCGTTGGAACCTTGGCATCTCCAAGTCCGAGGCTTTTTCCAATGATCTTCCACATCAGGGATTTGGGGGCTTGGGCTTCGGGTTTACAGGGTTTATAGGGTTTACAGGGTTTACAGGGTTTATAGGGTTTATGGGGTTTATAGGGTTTATAGGGTTTATGGGGTTTATAGGTTTATGGGGTTTATGAGGTTTAAAGGGCTTAGGGGTCACTAGGGATAGGCAAAACTCTACAGGATACCAACGGACAGACGTCCAACTTCCCGCAACATTTCCCCCTGGCCCTGCATGGGTTTTACTGCCGTGTCGGCCAAACGTAGGCCGCTGCCGTTGCCAGCGAGGTGAGCGCGGACCTCTCAAAAAACTTCCAGGACACACGTAATTGAAACTAGGTCCGTTCTCGTTACTATCATGGTTCAAGACAATGCCAAACGAGAATTAATGGTGGACTATGCAAGAACCTGAGCACTCAGAAACCGGGTGCCCATGCGATTCCAGGATTCCTCTTTTGAGCTTGGGGTCGCGCAAGCTCCAGAATCTCAAGTTGCTGTGAGATTCAATCTAAACTCCTTGCAGAGAGGTTATTTCAGGGATTACATAGGGGAGCATTCTAGGGGGTATTGAGGGCGGATACTAGGAGTTTAGATTATAGCTCATGTATACTCCGAAGCTGATACTCCTGAGTTCCCCAAGACTTTTTCATGAGGAGAAGATTGCCCCGGTGGTCCTGGAAAGAGCCGGACAAGCATCAGAAGTTGTGCAGGACTGGTTCTTGGGGTTTGAGGTTCTTTCCTTCGGGTGTATAAGGGCCAGACCACTGTTGAGTAGAATTTCTTGTGTAGTGCATACTTCAGCGGAGAAGCCAGCGAATGTTCTCAAGCAGATTCCAAGAACCTTGACTCAATCCTTGAACCCTAAAAAGTAGTTCCTATTTCCTTTTGCCATTCTCAAATAATACAGGCGAACGTTGGCCTTGTTTTGCCAGGAGTCCTTCGCCGCGAGGAAATGGATGAAAACTGTTAGGCTTGTAGATGTTAGTAGTTTGCGCGCCCTTGTGCAACTTCAAACTGAGACGTTTTCCGACAGAAGTGCTGAGTTCGCAATACGGATCAAGCTTGAAGAGTTTATCATGCGCGGAATCGTGAACTCTGGCGTCATGACCATGACCTGGATATTGTGCGGCGCGGCACCTAACCCTGAGTCATTTCATAGCCCTCACGCATGCATAGGGTACAGCTGCATTCCGGCAACCTGCACCTCTTCAGTAAGCAAAACCCTGAGGATCCAAGCTTACAAATAGTAACTACCTACATTAGGCCCTAAAGTCTGTAAATTTTACCTACACTGGGCTACCTGGATCCCGAGGGAAACTCGGAGCCTAGATCGCCTGAATCCTGGAGGGGCTCTCATAAGTCAATACACACCCAAAAGGCAGAATATTCCTTATTATGAGGACTGCCAAAAAGAACACCAATTTTTGGAAAGCCCCAGATGAAGGCCCAGAAGTTTGAGCACATCCTACATAAAAGAACATA